TCCTCGAAAAGCTTTGTGTCCTTGTCCATCCTTGAAAAGAAATTTCATGCACATGTGTGTTCTGTGGAGACACAAGCTTTTCAGGTGTCTTGTTTTGTTGTGTAATCTATGTGCGTGTTCGATGCTCAGTACTGATATGAACAAGATTTTTAACCTTTTTCTGCTTTTTAATACAAACCAGTACTAATTTATCACTGTTAAACATGCACCAAGTGAAAATTAGTTTGTCGTAGATTTTCATTTTCCATTCAGTGTATTTAACATGACGTGAGTTCAATTATGCCTTATTATGTAATCCTCTAAAAAGCAATGTACATGCATATTCTAATGGTACAACTTCTTTTCTCAGGGTATATATGGGTATCCTATTGAGATTCAGGCACTCTTCTTTATGTCTTTGAGATGTGCTTTAGCATTGCTGAAGCACGATGAAGAGGGCAATGAATTTATTGAGAGAATAGTTAAGCGTTTGCATGCGCTGAGTTATCACATGAGAAGTTATTTTTGGCTCGACTTTCAACAGTTAAATGACATATATCGCTATAAAACTGAAGAATATTCTCATACTGCGGTTAATAAGTTTAATGTTATTCCGGATTCAATCCCCGAATGGGTATTTGATTTTATGCCTATGCGTGGTGGTTATTTTATCGGAAATGTTAGCCCTGCAAGGATGGATTTTAGATGGTTTGTTTTAGGTAATTGTATAGCCATTTTATCTTGTCTTGCCACTCCTGAGCAAGCTTCTGCTATAATGGATCTTATAGAAGAACGATGGGAAGAGCTTGTCGGAGAAATGCCTCTGAAAATCTGTTATCCGGCAATTGAAAGTCATGAATGGCGAATTGTAACAGGATGTGATCCGAAAAATACAAGATGGAGTTATCATAATGGAGGATCCTGGCCAGGTTCTTCTTTTATGTTCACTTCTCATATTGATTTTGTGCCTTTTTTTTAATATCTCCCGCTAGCGATTAAGGCTTAATCCCTGTCAAGAAATGTCCTGTTTTGTATGTACATGATAAACATCTTTTTTTTTTTCCCGTATCAAAGACTATTACTAAATATTTCCTTCAGAAAAATTTTTAAATGAAGAAGAGTTGCCAATAGCTGCTTGTACTCCCTCTGCTTTTGAAGTACGAGCATGTTTGGCTAAATACTTATATAAGTACCAACTTTTACCTTATGTTACTAATTAAATATTCTGCTTTTTTAGTTAAACAGTAAGAAAAAAGAAACTTATCCAAACATGTTTGGAATAAAACTTAAGAGCAACTTTTACTTATTTTAAGCTTAACCAACATGCTCTATTTTTTTCTTTTTAATACGTCAACGCATACATTCTGTTTTGTGACATTCTTTCTTCGTCTTAAATACAGTGCTTTTATGGTTGCTAACGGCTGCTTGCATCAAGACTGGAAGGATACAAATTGCAAGAAGAGCAATTGATCTTGCAGAGAGTCGTTTGCTCAAGGATGGCTGGCCAGAATACTATGATGGAACATTAGGAAGATATGTTGGTAAACAAGCGAGAAAGTACCAAACATGGTCCATTGCCGGATATCTTGTGGCAAAAATGATGTTGGAGGATCCTTCACACTTGGGGATGATCTCCCTTGAAGTCGACAAGCAAATGAAGCCTGTAATGAAGAGATCTTCATCATGGACTTGCTGAAGGGAAAGGAGATAATGACATGAAGAAATGACACGGAAATTCAGAAATTTGGATTTTGTTTTGTTTCGAAAATTTCTTTACAATGATTTACGTAATTTTAGGTGTGATCAAATGTTTGGTTTTTGTACATTAGATTCTGGATGCTTCTCAAGTTAAACCATTTCAGTATAATACATTTCTTGAAGGAATTTCGTTTAGAAATTTGATGTTCTAATTACCTGGATTGAGGTACTAAATTTATCATTTGGCTGTGCGATCAAATCAAAGTGCTGAAGCAATATAATTATACAGAGTTATCTGAGTATGTGAACGATAACGAAAATGAGAACCGACGTGTTTGGCTAAGCTTTAAAGAAGTTAAGTATTTTTGAGTAATTTGGGTTCAAATATGTTATTTTTATCTTACTTTTAATTTAATTAAGTTGTTTATTTTAGAACATACTTATTTACTTCGATAAACATTTTTTGTCATGATATATCCAAAAAAGTTATACCATGATTTCGAGTTGTTTTTGCAAACCAATCTTAGACTATGGTATCATCAAACTTGTGTCTTGGTTTCTTTATGTAATAGGTCAGAGGATGGAAACTTGCCACTCCATAAGTCGAGTTAGGTTTTTACTGAAGACAAAATATAAATCAATACCGTGTTTCCTCTGCAATAACTTAAGAAACTCAAGTGGTCATGGAATGAACAATCCTTTCATTCCAAATTTTTTCGAGTTGTTTCTTCAGGTGAACTATATAAAATCGAACTATCTCTAAAAGAAATTTAATCTAAAATTATAGACATTATACCATCAAGTATTGTGTACCAAACATGCTCGAATTTTACAGCGTTGTATGGCTAATAAATTTACCAGGACACTGAACTGACCTTAGAATCTAAAAAAAAAAAATCTTATCAGATGCACTGATTATAGATTTTGGATTATTCTCCTTATACATTATGTTGTGCATAAAGATGTACATCATGGACATGGACACCCGACACCACCCTATTGGATGAAGTGTCGGTCCCACCTGCACTCCATCCAATAGGATGGTGTCGGGAATGGACACCCTTATGTACACCATAGTGTACATGTAGTAGAGCCCATAGATTTTATAGTAGCAGAAATACACACCGACATACACAACAATACAGAAGGCGAAACCGCGAAAGAAGTAACAAGCTTGAAAAAAAAATAATAATAACTTAGGTAAAAGGTGGGGTGGCGTGGGTGGGTGGGGTGGGTGTTGGAGGGGAGGTTCTGTGTTGTGTTGGGATTAGCTGTGGTTTCTTGTTGCATTAGATGCTAGCTAGCTATCACCTGAGCTGTCCGCATGAAAATTACAGGCATTTTTGGCTACGCTTAGAACATATAAGTTAAACCTGAATTGTATCGTTTAGGTCCAATTCTTTTTTTTTATTCACGTGGGGTCCACCCCATGTGAGAGGGTGGACACCATTAGGTAACCCAAATTATGTACAAGTAGTGTTTTCCTTCTTATAATGCTATCATCACATAGAACCAAAGCCCATTTTCAATCATACGAATTTTTACTTGTCACTTTAATTTGTTACCATTTTACTATAAATAACTTCGTTTTATGGCCTTGTTCAATTCAAGAGTTTATATAATCAAATGATTATGCTATTAGTTCAGAAAAGAACATCCAGAAAGTGTGCCAGAAATGATGTGTAGTGAAATGATTGAATGAATGAAAAAGCTGACTGTGTTTTGAATTGTCAAATGATAAAGTATTATGTGACATTATGTAACTCATTATGTAAGACTTGATGTACATATAACAAGGTCCATAATCAAATTCTTCACAATTGCTTTAACACTAATTTATTTATTTAAATCATCTCAATTTTTCCTATAAAATATTCTTAATTAACCATGGTTAGGCCATAATTTAAAATTTTATTTTGGAACATGCAAAAAGACAGTGGAAACAGCACATAGGTTAGACTAAATAAACATCTAATTGATAGTAAAAAAGAAAAGAACCCAAAAAGTGAAAATAATAATAATTTTAACTTAACTCACAATGAACATATTTTTTAACTTGGTGTGCAATGCTTCTTGAGACTGAGTCATCATTGATTAGACGGTGCAATATGGCAATTAACACTTTTAATTATGTGATTGACGTCAAACTTTCTTTAAATCAGTTTCTAATGTCTGTCTAGACACGTCTGAAAAATGCCACGCATAAGGGCAAGACTTGAAAAAACAGGCAATTCAAGGATAATTCTATTTGTACCGAATGTGGGTTATCGAAAATATGTCACCCTCTCACATGTGCGTGGGACTCGCGTGAATAAAAAACTCACAAATGTGTGGTTCCCACACCCTATTGTAAGTGTAGGTAAAAGATTATGTAAAAAAGATGGTGTACATGTAGCATGACACGCAATTCAATTATCTTAACTAATAGTAGAGGGATGAAATTGTCAAGTACTAAATGTGAAGGATGAAAGTGAGAATTGTATAAAAGGAAATAGTGTGGATCTATGGATATGGAGCTGACTAATTATATTTAACAATCATGCTAAATGTACATGGGGTTTGTCAGGCAGTTTGACAGAATGTCATGTTCCAGCATTGCATTCATCTGTTTAAATCTATTTTTTGTCCAACATCTCATGTCGTTAAGTCACCTGATCTCCTCAGCGAACTCTCTTGTACAAGGGACTTAACTCTATATTTAAAATAAAGTATCTGGAATACACTAAAAGAATCTTAGGACGGACCTGCTCATCTCAAAATCAATTGATTTATACTCAAATATTTATTTTGTTTTAATTTATTTATTTAATCATTTACTATTAATTCGATGTTTGTTCGACTAACTTTTTCGAATAAAAGTTAGAGTTGATCTTTAGAGCATCAATTAAAATTTCTTGAAGCCAGCTAATGTGTACTGCATTCTTACCTCACAAAGAGACCCCACGAATGGCCTTCAGCTTCTGCTACATTGATTTTCTGCAGGTCCCCACCTGTCACCACTAGTCCAACCACTAGACCCCACACACACCCTATCTCCTATTCCCCAACCCACCCACTCCCAAAAGACAGCAGTCAAGCAGAGAACAAGAACCCCACCACACCACTTCCTCTTGTTCAGTGGGCTCGAAAGACTTTTCTTACAGCAACTTGATCTCTCTCTCTCTCTCTCTCCAAAAGCTTCAAATTTCATCAATTAATTGGACAGTAAGTTTGGAGAATCAAGAAAATTTTCTTGACAAATTCCGGATAAAAAATTCCCGACTTCACCACTATAGAAATCAACCTTTATTTCGAGCCTGATTATCCATATACGCTCATAAAAGATGGAATTTATGGAGTCACAGCGCAAAACTCAAGGTAGTGATAGTGGCTCAAACAACCAAGAACCAGCCTCTCTCCAATTGGTTTCGCCTCACCAAATTAATCAACCTGAACCCAGCCATGGGTCCGGTCAGGCCCCAGCCCATGGTCCCTTCATGGGTTCCATTTCCATGCAATCAAGAACCTCACTTTTCTCCTCCTCCACCATCGCCACCACTATTAACACTTCTGATTCAAACAAAGCTGCTAAAAAACCCTCTAAGGATCGCCACACGAAGGTGGACGGCCGAGGGCGGCGTATACGAATGCCGGCCTTATGTGCAGCTAGGGTTTTCCAGCTGACCAGAGAATTAGGCCACAAATCTGATGGAGAAACCATAGAGTGGCTTTTGCAACATGCTGAACAGGCCATTATAGCAGCCACAGGTACAGGTACAATTCCGGCTAATTTTTCGACGCTTAACGTGTCTTTACGCAGCAGTGGCACCACAATTTCAGCTCCACCGTCCAAGTCTGCTCCTCTCTTTCTCGGCGGCGTCGGTGCCGGTATGCTAGGGTTTCATCACCAATTAACATCAAACACCGGTTTTGGACAAGACCCGGATGAAAATTACATGAAAAAACGGTTCAGAGAAGAGACTAGTGGAGCAACCTCACCTTCAGCTGCTAAACTGCAAGATCAAGAACCTAATTCCGAACCCAAACCCGGTTCTTCTCAGCCTTCAAACTTTATCCCGGCTCCGGCCATGTGGGCAGTAGCACCTGCAGCCACCAACGTCGGGAACGCCTTCTGGATGCTGCCCGTGACTGGGAACGTCGCCACGGCCTCAGCGGGTGGAGGGCAGCAGGAGCATCAATTACGGCAGTACAATGCATCATCCATGCAGAGAAATGGTGGCTTTGAGTTCCCCGGTGTCGGTGGGAGCCGATTCAGTCCAGTTCAGCTTGGTTCAATGGTATTGCAGCAGCAGCAGCCAGCGGTTCAGCAGCTGGGGCTACGTATATCAGAGACTAACATGGGAATGTTGGCCTCCATTAATGCATATAACAGTAGGATTGATTTGGGTATGAATTTGGAGCATCATCACCATCATCAAAACCAGCCTGAAGGTAGTGAAAGTGGTGATGAAAATCCAAAAGATTCTCAATAATTTCATCATTTTGATTAATCCGAACCCTTTGCATTTTACATTCTTGAATGAATCCTTTTTAGTTTTTTTCTTTGGTGAAAGTTTGTGCATATTTATTTTAAGGTTCCTTTGCTTCTTTTTATGTAGTCAATTAGGGTTTTTGAAAGGCAATGGAAAATTGTTAGATTTGAAATAGCAATGGTGCTATGTGAATTTTGTTTTTCTGCGTAAGAATCAGAGTCGGAACTAATCTTTTAACCACTCCGTCAAAAAATTAAGGGGCAAAACCTTAGTTCCAGTCTGGTCGTATTAGCATTTGATTAAAAAAAAAAAAAAAATTAGTTCAGTCTTTGCACTGTGCGTTGAAGAAAATTATAGCTTGTTTGGAAATGATTAAAATCCAATTAAAATTGAAAATATAATCGTTATTGGGTCCCACCCGTCTAATAAAAGTCAACTCCAACGGCTATATTTTCAATTTTAATCTGATTTTAATCCCTATCAAACAAACTCTTAATATTAATGAAAACAACTTTAAATTTTTAGATAACGTGATTAATATGAACGATACAATATTAGCATGCAAAATTCCATCAAGTCGCAACTTTTCGTCCGCGAGATCTTGAAGAAAATATAGATCATCCTAAAAGTACTTTCGAAACTCGATATTCTCTCACTATTTAGCCAATGTTTGATATTTATTAAATAAAAAAAATTATTTCTCAACCATATATTTATAAAATAAAATATTTTTCACATAAATTAAAAAAAATCTATTTTTGAACCTCGCATTCCAAAAAAAAAAATCATAATTCTAAAATTTATTTTCCTCAATAAATTCATTTTAATTAATATCAAAGCTTAGTTGACATGTATATTATTCATGAATAAGGTTATCTAGAAGGCTTATTCCCATTGTACAGAAAGGAAACCTCATAAATTGACCAGAAGAGAGATAAACATTGGGTCCCATAGTGTATTAAAAAAGAAAAAAAATTGCGGGTCCCATGTGTGTGTGTGTGTGTTCTGTCCAAATTTTGTTGGGATCTCTTCTGGACATGCTATATCTAGAATATACTACAACACAGTTTGTATTGTATTATTATTTGATATGTTTGACTCCCCTATTTGATATGTTTGTTTGGGTTACATTAAAATCAATTTTTGGGAAAAGTTTTATTTTGAAATAGTGATTTTTTGAAAAATGTGTTGTTAAAAAAAAAAGGAGAATATTTTGAATTTACGTATAATATTATTTTATTGAAAAATGTATAGTTGAAAAGAAAAAAGAAAAATGTATTTTGAATAAAATGAAGCTCAAACATGGGTTTACTCTTTATTTCTCGTATCTATTTTCAACTACACGTTAACATAATAAAATATTTTGTACGTAAGAAAAAAAATTTCCTATTTTTTAACTACACATTATATAAAAAATTACTATTCAAAACATTATTTTCCCACAATTTTTCTTTATAATGGCCATCAAACAGAAACTTAATTAAATGTAGAATTATGCAACTCATTTAATTGTACATTTATTTAATGTTGTTACTCACCGTGTTTGAGGCGCTTTTTTTATTTTATTAAAACGCGTTTTGAAATAGTATTTTGATAGAGAATGTGTAGTTAAAAAATAAATTTTTTTTTTTGAAGTTGTGTGTAATATTCTTCTATTGAAGAATGGGTTAATTTCATAAACAGTCACTGAAATTTAAAACTTGCACTAACGGTCATTGAAGTATCATCTGGTTTCGTAATGGTCACTGAAAGACCTTTTTCATTTTAATTGAGACTTAATGGACCAAAATAGCTGAAACTTGAACCTTGAGGACCTAAACTACCCCACCCAACTCATCCCCTCCCCTATTGTCTTCTCCGATTCCAGGCAAACATGGACCATCAGCGACAGCCACCGACGAAGCATCCATGTTCCACCGAGAGCCTAGATCAGATAACCCAACTTCTTAGTCATCTATTGCAGTCTACTCTCTCCATTATTTCCTTTACATCAAGATGGCAGTGCTTTCGATCAAAGCTTGGTACATTAAAATTAGTTCTTTCTGAAATCTCGGATTCCTCGCACTGGACCGACAACCCTTAATCTCCTCTTGACTCTCCACCGTGTCGAAATCATGTGCAATCAGTGTTCTGACCTTCATTTACTGTCGGGAAACTCCTCATGCAATCGGACCTCGACATGGCCTCTAGTTGGCTTTCGAAGCAAACCAACGATCTTGATCTCCTTCTTCGCTCTAGGGTCCTCCATCAATCTACTGTCGTTGTTCTCTCTCACCCCAGTGCCAATAGCCCAAAAAGGACCTCTGTTTTTTCGTCTAGGACCTCTTTACAAGGCTTCAAATTGGAGGTCTTGAGTTCAAGCACAAGACATTGGATTCATTAATTCAGCTCCTTTCTGAGGATGAAAATTCTGGGAGTGTTGTTGCTAAAGAAGTGAATTTGAACTGCTTGATTCACTTACTCGATCCCATTTATCCAGATTCTGTGAGAGATCTGGCTATTGTAGCAGCGTCAATGCTTGATTCAGTAATGGTTTTGGGGGGTTTTATTGTCAAATTTGCGATTTAGACCCTCAAGGTTCAAGCTTCGGATATTTTGGTCCATTTAGTTCCAATTAAAATGAAAAAGGTCATTCAGTGACCATTACTGAAACCGGATGATACTTCAGTGACCGTTAGTACAAATTTTAAATTTCAGTTAACGTTTTGTGATTTTGACGTAATTTCAGTGACCGTTTGTGAAATTAATCCTTAACTTTATATATAATAGACTAAAACATAAATCAAACGGACCCCTAAAAAGTGGAAAAATCATAATATTTTCACACACTAATTAATTTTTTTTTTTTTTTAAAGTGAGTAAATATATGATTGAAAATAAGAGAGAAAAAAGTTTTTTTTTTTTTTTTGTAGATATCAAATAAGGGCTCAATGTTATCTAAATTAGTGATGTAACATCAGGAATATTAAATGTATTACTAACTTTGAATTCTAATAGCTCTTAATTATTTAACATATGTATCAATTAAATGGTCAAAGAAAATATTGAGTACTCCACTTTGGGAACTTTTCCCAGATACTTTATTGAAATTATTTTGGGAAGTTTTGACCTTTTGTTTGCAGGAGGGGCATTCTCTTCATTATTTTCTGGAAGAAGAGGGTAGCGTAGGGGTGGGTGGGGTTTGTTGATAATTTGTGCCGACACTGTCTTTTTCTATTTGCTGTCCTAATTTGGAGTATATATGAATTTGATTATTCAAAATAATCAAATTTCAAACTCGATAATTCTTTGTTATCTATATGCTAATCAATATCTAATCAAATTATTAAAGCAATTTAACTCATTTTAGCATTACTAATTACACCAAAGCTGACGAAGAAGAGAATATGACTTCCACATGTGAAGGAACTGAATGAAATAAATGAAATTTAGCCCGTTTGATGGTCATTATTTGACCAAAAAAGTAGAAAAAATGTTTGGATCTACGTTCAAAATATTTTATTGTGTGAGTGTATGGTTGAAAATAAGTATGTATAAAAAGAGTTTTAAAATAATAATTGTCAATCAGGGCTCAAATTTTGACAAAATATGCGTTCAATCTTCACCTAAAACCAGTGACACGTGTATAATAGAAATAACTTTATTTTCTCTCTCAAAATAAATTTATAGATAAATCGATTCTATAAATACATACAATGATAAATCAATAAAAATAATATTTTTTTAATAATAGGGCCCTCATGGTTGAATGATGGAAGCAAGAACGGATAAGAATTAAAGGGGAATCAAACCAGCTTGTTTTGCCTGTCTTTCTCATGGTAAAGCATCCTATTCCTCATGATTTTTTTACTAAACATCATGAAATTCAATACACCAATATCACTTTCAATATGTAATATTTACCTTGAATGATTAAGAATAAGACTTTCAGTTCGATTCGTTGCTAGGTTTACATCTAGGACTTTCCTACGAGAAGATGAAATTCTTCTTTAATTTCCGTCTAGTCTCTCAATGTTGAGGGAGGACAAATTAGCTGGCCACACACTAATGTGAGTGGGCTGTAAAATTTACATTCTACTAATGACTGTACATGTAGTATGTTTCTTTTGTAAATGTACTATGGAGTGGTCCTGTTCAACTTGGCATGTCAGTCTGACTTGATACCCTCCACTTGGTATGCTGGCAACGGCAGACTGTAGTCCTGCCAAGGGTAAATTGAATACACAGAAGTGAATGTGTGGCATCAGTTAGAAAGCTGTGTTATTATTGCAGAGAGAGAAGCAGTACAAGGCAGTTCTGCTGGATGGTGGTGACAAGGCACAGTTTATTAAGCTACCCAACTGGCCACTGGGTGGTTGTGAAGAATTCAGCTGACCTATCTTCACGTACAAGTAGTAATAAACCGAACAAAGTCGATAAAAAAAAAATCTACATTTTGTCGTGTAATTACATTTATTTTTCATGAAAAATATCTATTTTTCATTCAAATTCATACTTTGAAGTATTTGATTGTTATTTTTTTATTGTCATTCAAATTCATTCTTTGAAGTGTTGATTGTTATTTTTTTCCATTAATAATATTTTTTTTCCTTATTTTTAAGGAAAATATTTTTTTTGAAGGAGTAGGTTTTTGTTTTTCTCAAAACAAGGAAAATATATTTTTTTAAAGAATTATTTTCTATACCAATCAAACACACTCGGATAATAAAATAAACCTAAAATCTCATCATTCTGCCATGAACCCAACCTTTATGTTATCATTTGGTCTAATAACATAATACCCAGCAAATTAACCAATAAATGCGAGTTACATTAAGATCACTGTTTAAGAGTTTTATAACTAGTATTAGGGGAGGTTCTTATCTCCCATCTACAATTATTATTATTATCATTATTATTTTGGTAGATATCTAATGGCATTCCACGGAAATAAAACCGATACGCGATGCGATAAAATATTTCAATACATTTGGGGAAAAACAGCAATATAATCCGAGCAAGCATTTGACAGAGCTATTATCAAAAAATTAACAGAAAAAAACAGCATTGCATATAGCAAGAAGAATACTGAAACCCGATTTAACTGTGCGACACAATAGATTCCTGTATTTTGTCTACACAAGGCATTTCAAATTTGTCTGTATTATTGCAATGGAAGTGGACTTAACAAGGTAAGTTACGCTGAAGCAGTCTTCTTTTGCTGAAAGACAACAGCATAAACCGGGACAGCAACACCAATGCTGAATGCAGTAAAGCCCCCAAGAGTCATCTTAAGTTGTTGGTGCTTCATCCTGTCCAAGTTGTACATGTGCTTCGCGTGAAGGTAGAAAGGCTCGTCATGGCCATGGAGTCATGGCCATGGGCATGCCCTCCTCCCATACTCTTCATGCCTGTGGAGTGGAACCCCCTGTTTACTGTCACACCAGAACAAATTTCACCATTTCAACAAGGCATGCAATAGAAAAACCACAAATAGGAGTATCTATTTTTAACAAGTAATTTTATAAAAGCACAAATTGGACCATCCACAAGATATAATTTTCTAAAAGCAGTTGGATATTGGAAAGCTCCATAAAATTATCTTCCTACTTGCATTTGAAACTTAAAGATATGTTGAAGTTCAGTGGCATAAGCATTCAAAATAGTGCTGCATGGGAGCCACCATATCTACTTGTAAATTCTACCGAAATGAATTCTATAAGTTGTCTTGAATTGGAAACATTTGTATCCCATTTGACATTAGAGAAATTGATCGATAAAGTATCAGTTTTTACCTTTTATTATGTTATAATAAATAAAGAAGCCATCAAAACTCAAAAGACACCAGTGGAATCCATTACATTTACATACAATGAATTCTCGAGACACAAGACTCTTTCACGGTTACATAGATTTCTTCGACTAAAAAACAGTGCTGGAAAATGTCACTAGCTAACTTCAAAGTTATTCAAGGCACATACAAAATGATATTATCGACTAATTCCATAAATATCTTCAAAGTATAATAAATCTGACATAACAAATAAAGAACAAGATAAAATGAATGGAGTCGCAGAAGATTGAAATACAATGACACCTATTTATCAGATCATCAATCAACTTCTCATAACAATTTCATTTGCACAGAGTTGGTGAAATGAAAGTCATAGCAAAACAAGTGGTAGAAGGACACACAACTCAAAGCAGCTTCTCCTCTCCTCAACTGCATGTCTGGCAGATCAACTATGGAAAACATAATAGTCTCAAACAATATCCAAAATTAAGGATACAAGTGATCATTTTGAGTGCTTTAATATCAGGAGGAGAGAAACTGACAAAGATTTTGTTGAGGACCATAGAAATCTCATCCAACAAATGGTCATAGAATTTAGACACACGGTAAGACACGGCATTTTCTATGTGATCTCAAACCAAGTATAGGATAAAGGCAACAGAACCACACGCGGGATTAGAGCAGTTCCTGGAGCACCAAATCTTTCTTTAGCAAATTATCAACATTACCCACTTTAAGCTCCAAATTGACACCATTTCTAGCATTCGACAACTCGCCTGAATAAACTTTAATATCACAGGAGATACACCAGAAACCTTAAAAACAAAGAGAAGAAGCAAATGCTTCAAAGAACAAGTGGTCAACAAGATAAATGAATAACTGGAGTACAAATTGTACAATGAAGCAGAAATAAAACCAATAGCCTTCAACAATTGACACTATTCATTTGCGCATATATATATTTTCATGACGACATATTCTAAACAATTTCTCAAGGATATCAAGCAAAAAAGAAAGATTTTGGTATATGACAGATTCCATACAACTTTACCAAATATAGAAGGAGAAGCACATGAATCGCTTGCTTAAGCTCGATTGGTGATTTAAATCAAACAGTATAAAGGCCATTTATGTTATCAATGTACAGTCAAGTAAAAAAAAAGGACAGATCCTTTTAGCAGTTGTATAGCAAGATCTGAAAGCAGCATCACTTGAAACAAACACATCTCAAAAAAATATCTTTTAAAGTCTTTTTAACATGCAGAAGGTATCGTTCAATCATTATAAATTTAGAATAATTGTCAAAAACAAAATATAAGCAAAGACTGACCATATATGTCAGAAACGAAATATAAGCAAAGACTGACCACAATTTCATACTCATCAAACTTTTGAAAAACCTCAAATCTATTTTTGCACCTACACCAAGCAAGATAATATGTTTACATAAACCCACCTCTTTTGGACGTGTCCATAATACAATTTAGCTTCGCCTTTTGCAGTTAAGGATAGGAACAATTATACTGTATTCATTCACACTATCTTTCCCGAACCTATATCATGGGCTTTACTCATTTACTTCTATCCCAGAAAATTCGCCCCCAAAGTTGCAGCACATCCAAAGTGCTAAGTGAAAAACATAGAGGTTCAAGCTACAGATGGAAACGTGAATGCCCAGAAAATGACAACCGACTAGGATCCGGGCAAAATAGTCTCCAAATTAAACATTCTTATTGAGTACTCAGTAGAAATGGAAACGAGGCAGGTCCAGGCAGCCTTTCTCATCACCCGCCTTGCAGCCACAAGGGATCCCCGCCTCATTTCTCGTTTTACTCAGTTTTTATTTTTATAAATAATTAAAATAAAATATAAATAAATAAAAAACCACAAAATGAGGTTTTTTTGCACCACATCAGGCTGACTCTCAATGGCCTCGATAAGCATTGCTCATTTATAGATCTTTCTTTTCAAATATGAATAGAATATGAATAGGGATGGTAATTTTACCCGGCCCTGCCTTGAATAGGGCTGTGATTCCCTAGTTAACCAGCATAATAAGTCGGGATGTTTTCCTCGAGTAGTGGACGGGGAGAGGAACATGGTCCCAACCCTGGTTGGTATTTGTATAGTAAAATTTTTATAATAATAAAATTATACCAATATAAAAAGAACATGTATGTATCAATGGATTTTTATTTAAAAAATGTACTAGTGGGATAAAACGCTGAAGGACAGAAATCCACTTCATGGCCTATTGCAAAGTTCATTATTTAACCAAGAGTTGGTTCACCAAGCCCTTTTATAAATCACTTCTTCAGCAGATCTCATAGAAATCCATTGTAATCTTCGGCATTAACATCTGGAAGGAAACATTGAGTTTACCTCGTTTTCGTCCCCCTCTAGAGAATTCAGACAGCGAGGAAAGTCCTTGGCAGAATCGAGCGACGAGTATCCAGCGGAAATGGGAATATGTTTGAACGAATTTGGCAACATTGCAGAAAGAAGCCCAATACTTCCCTCCTGTATGACTAAAGGAAAACCACAATAAATGGGATTTATGGTCTTTTCTTATTTTAGCCCATTAATATGTTTTTGTATTTATATAATTATATTATATTATAAAAAATTTAATTAAATTAAAGATACACCTACCAAGGGAGTAACCATGTTACCCGTCCCTGGCCCGCTCCGACCCAAATGGGGGCAGGTCCCTACCCGAATTGGGCCAATTGGGTTTTTTGCCATCCTTAGTCTTTCGATGTAGGACTAAATCCATTAACAAAGCCCACAACACTAGCAATTAAACAATACATGCATGAAGGAGGGATTACACATCAAATTCTTTAAGGAAGTGCTCTATAAAATGGCGTGATTGACCAATTTAAAAATAAATAAGGGAGTTAAAAGTGAGTGGACCCTGAAGTGGTCTTAAATTGTAATAGCCCCAAAGTATTATAAACGAAGCCCTTGTTTGGTAATGATTAAAATTCAGATTTTAATCTACGTCAAAGTCATCAATCAATTTTAATCACATGTTTCGTGGTCCCACAACTTTCAATCATACGTTTTATCAACTTTTATCAAAATCTACTAAAAATATTATTTTAATCAATACTAAACATGGGCTAAATTTAATAAAAATACATTGATAAATACAACATTTTTTTATATTTATATAATTTTAAGTATTATATTAAAATTTGTCTATAACTAAAAAAATTGTAATGGGTTAATAACAGGGCCATGTTCCTCATCCTGATCAAGGATATTTGCCCCGAGGTGGCCCTGGCCCCACCCAGTTCCCCAACTCTCTGAGAATCCCCACCCCATTGAGGCAAAACACCGCATGACAGGTTGGATAGAGGTATTTTGACATCCCTATTATTTAGATTGATATATATGATGAAACACATTTAGTTCTGTTTGATAACCATTATTTTCAAACTCTTTTTTCTACATACTCATTTTCAACCACATATTCACACAATAAAACATTATGTACGTAAACCCAAAATCTTTTCCTACTTTTTAACCACACATTCTTCTAAAAAACACTATTCAAAACTTTGTTTGCCACAATTAATGGTTGTCAAACAGGGGC